GGGAGGTTATTGGAAGTTGAACCCAGGGGGGCTTAACCACTGAGAAACATCCCCAGCCCTTTTTATATTTTATTTAAAGACAGACTCTTGCTAAGTTGCTTAGAGTCTTGCTAAATTGCTAGGGCTGGCAATCCTCCTGCCTCAGCCTTCTGAGATGCTGGGATTACAGGCATGTGCCACCACACCCAGATTAAAGTCACTTTTGATTCAGTGGTCACCAACATTTCGGGTGTTACAAATATCCAAAATATCCAAAGTGATTTCATTATAAAAAGTACTGAAAAAGTCATTAAGTTGGCTATGGTAGAACATAGATTTAAAAATATGTGTTAAGTACTTAGGGATTTTTTTTAAAATATTTTTTTAGATGTTGATTGATCTTTATTTTATTCATTTATTTAAATGCGGTGCTGAGAATCAAACCCAGGGCCTCACATATGCTAGGCAAGTGCTCTACCACTGAGCCACAACCCCAGCCCCACTTAGGAATGTTTTTATTTGTTAAGGCCATAGATTTGTCATTTCAGGCATTTGAAGTGCTTAAAAATCAAATGTGTTAAATTTATAAGGGAAGTTTATATTTAAAGGACTTGTATTAACTAAGTTTTAAATGGACTGATTACTTCAGGGTATCTAGTCTTCTCAACTTGAGTTGCTTGAAAATTAGCAGAAAAAAATAAGGGTTATTCTTTTTTCTTATTTTATAGGATTTGTTTTTTATATATATTTTTTATTTTGACAGTTTTGGGGCTTGAACCCAGGACCCTGAACATTAAGGTCAAGTGCTCTACCACTGAGCTACATCCCTAGGTAAAGTTTATCATTCTTACTGTAAACAAAAATAACAAATTTATAAATAGAATAACAAAAACCATACTGAAATCAAAAGTTGGCAAAAGGATTGTACAATTTTTACTTTAGAAAATTAGCATTAATTTGAAATCCAAGTAACTATAAAAAGTACTTTCTACACACAAGGACTATGCTCAGACATTTAAGACAAGCTCATGTTAACATTTTTGTATACATGAACAGAATTTAAGAAGCAAATGCACAATGTGGGACTGGAAAGATTATTTTCTTTTTCTTTTTTTTTTTTTTTGTTCAGGGGATTGAACCCAGGGGCACTTAACCATCGAACCACATTCCCAGCCCTTTTTAATATTTTGTTTAGAGACAAGGTCTCTCTGAGTTACTTAGGGCCGCACTAATTTGCTGAGACTGGCAATCCTCCTGCCTCAGCCTCCTGAGCCTGGGATTACTGGTGTGTGCCACCGCACCTGGCCTGAACAGACTTTCATTGAAGTGTCTGTGATTAACTATTCACACATATCTCCCAGTGAAAACTGCCAAGAAATGTGGGGGATTTTTCTGTTTTCCAAATTTTTCAGTGAAGAACTAACAAGAGAGTTAGGAACTATCAGGCCCCCGACTACAGAAGGCAAGAACCAGAGAGGACAGGCAGTCTGATCCCAGGAAGGTTAAAGGAGTTTTTCCAGCCTTTACAAGAAGGGGCACAAAAACCAAAGCCCAAGGCCTGTGAACAGTGGGGAGTCTAAAGAAGACTTTTTCACAAGTTAGACCCAGGGATCACCTCCTCAGGGCAGCAGCAGTGAAGCAGAAATAAACTCTGCACTCAGACCAACTCAGAGTGGAAAACCCCTCCAGGGAAAGTTCCTGTGCTAGGATCCTTGCATTGTGCTTTCAGCCCAAATTCACAATCAGGGTGTTAACCAGAAACAGCAAGCTGTGAAGCCAGGGTGGGTACAAAAAATGTCAGAATTTAGCTGCAGGGGATCCAGACAGGAAACACCTGTGTGTGCGTGTGTGTGTGTGTGTGTGTGTGTGTGTGTGTGTGAAATAAAAAATATGAAAAGAAAAGAACCTTTTCCCCCTCTGAACTGTAGTATAATTTTTCCATTTCTGGCATGTGTACTTTTCCCATTTTATATTTCAGTCTCCCTTGGGAAATCCTTGAGCTTAGAATCCTTTTTTTCACAATAATTTTTGAAGTTTGAACTCAGTATAATGGAGGAGCCCAATAAGAAGTGGCTGACTTCTTAAAGATAAAAATCCAATAATGTTTGTTCATAAACATACAACCCTCCTGAAAATATAACCTTGGTATTAAAGTGATTTAAGTAGACATCTTTAGATGTCAATTGAAGAAGTGAGAATATTCCTTTTCAACATTGGATCTAGTGAGTTTAACTTGAAGGAAGACAGAATGTCTTACACACTCAACATTAAAGAATTATATTGGCCTCCATAAAGCAAACTATGCCAATCATGAATGAATTATCTGGGATAATGAAAATCAAGAATAATATGGATGAAATAAAAATCGACATTTTTATTTAATTAGATGAATTAAAATAGCTCATTTTTATCATTAACTTAAAATTTCTTTTACTAATGATAGGAGTTCATCAGAAATCAAACTTTTGAATTCTATCTCCATTGATACTTTACCATCTGCTCTGGGGGATGTATAAACGAAATGGAGACCTGACTAAAGTAAAGTAAAAAGAAAACAGGGCAATTATTTTTTATGTACTTTTGAGTTAATTTATATTTTATTAAAAGCCCATCTTCTAGGCCGATTGCAAATGAAATGGAGATGTCTTAATTGAAAGTTCATTGAGATCGTCACAGAATTCAAACATTCATTACAAATTATCTAAAAACTGCAGCTCAATAAAATTACTCAGCTCTACAAGTTAGTGGTAAGATCATGGATTTTGGGGTTGTTTCAGATGCTAACTATGTTACCCACTAACTTCTTTGGGCCTCAGTTTATTTATATATTCAGTGGAAAGAACGTCCAACTCTTAAAGTATCATAATGAAGTGGCACCCCCTTTCTCCACAGAAAAGCCCTCTTCACCATGGCTGATTTTAGGACTGTCAGCAAAAGAGTCCGTTGTAGATAAACTTCCTATTTTCATGTTGCCCTGTTTACTTGGCCACTGGCCGAGAAGATACCAGCACTCCAGGTGCTGGAACCCCCTTACTAGTTTTTCACAAACATATCCAGTATAGTACTTTGAAGAAATGTGCAAACAAGGCCTCTGGCCTTGAGCTGGGCTTCACAGAGATGTCTACATTTTTAAGATAAGTTACAGATGGGCCCGTGGTAACATCTGGCAGGGGGAGGAAAGAAAAGGGAGATGAAGCTCTCCCCTTCTCAGGTGTTGTCCTTGAAGAGTTAACTTGCCCAGAACAATGAAAGAAAAAGTTGCTTTTATGTGAACTTCTGCAGACTGCGAACTTCTGAGCCCCTCCCCTTACATGCTGGGTACAAAACTCTGAAACTTCCTGAACTCGGGGTTCAGGGGATTGATTGATTACAGCAAAGGCTGTACCCTCTGAACCTGGCTGCAGCCAAATAAAACTGTTTCCAGCTGTCTTCTGTGCCTTGCCTCATTTGTCCCTACAACAATAAGGACTAAAGGAGTTAAAATCTATGAAGAGTCTGCTATTGTCATCCTCAATGGTCACTGTATTATATTAATTATGTACTTTGAAAAAAAGGATTCATTCAGTTTATTAAATAGATGTTTTTGTTTTTTCTCTCCACTTAAATCTGTTTGTGTGTTGTGACACAAATTGACACCTAAGTGTAGCACTGAAGTGCTAGCGATTGTTCCTAAGCACAAGAATGCTGGCATATACCTGATGGAGAAATGTCTGTTAGATAAGCTTTGTGTAGGCATGAGTTGCAGTGCTGTAGGTCATGGGTTCAATTAATCAAGTGTTAATGAATCAACAATATCTATTAAATTAAATAGTAACAGAAACCAGACATGGTTGTGAGAGCCTGCAGCTACTCAGAAGGCTAACGCAGGAGATGGCTTGAGCCCAGAAGTCTAGGCCGGCCTGGACAATAAAGCGAGACCCTCCCTCCCTTCTAACATTCCCCTCACACACATAAAAATAAACAAACCATACAAAAGATTACATAGTGATTGTTTGAAAAAATATTGTGATCAGAACCTCATGGGAACCTAACTTTCCTAGAAACAATGGTTCAGCATTTGCTAATTTTACTGTTTTCAGTGATTTTTTTAGAACGTAACTACTAAAAGAATGAGAATTGATTGCGTATAGAGAGAAAATATATTACTGTTTCTACAGAGTCATTATTATCAATTACCTTTTCTTTATTTTTATTTTTTATATATTTTTTTGTCAATGGGCCTTTATTTATTTATATGCTGTGCTGAGAATCGAACCCAGTGCCTCACACCTGCTAGGCAAATGCTCTACCACTGAGCCACCACCCCAACCCTCAATTACCTTTTATATACAGCAATTCAATGCCAATTTGAAATCCACCTGTGAGGATCAGCCCACTGGGATGTTACCCTG